GACTTGAAGGAAAATATTAGATCAATTTCTTCCCTGGAAGTTGTAGTACTAAAGTTCAGAAGTTGTGATTGTGCAAATATTTGTCAGGGGGAGTATCATATAAAGGGGTTGTTTAAAGTGCAGGAGCTGGTATTCATTTCTCCTGAGGCTTCATACTAATTTCTAAGTTATTCCAATAAGGAAACCAGGGGAAGGTTGAGCATGATAAAAGATAGCTACTAGTCTGATGGGTTTTCCAACCAAGCCCCTTTATTTCTTTTCAAGTAAGAATATGTAATATTTGTATGGAAAAATATGTAAAATATGTAGAAATATGTAATGATTTGATTGCTCTTTTACTAGTTTCTTAGGATTCTACTTTGTTTTAAAGATTTAATTAAAATTCAGTTAAAATGTCACATTACCAACTATCTGTTTCAGAAGGAGAAGTTGGACCAAAAAGGATCTTTTGTAGTTAAATTCTATGAATAGTTTCCATGATGACATCTCCTTCTTTAATTTTAATTTTTTAACACCAAAAACATTTTGTCTTAGCAAATAGCCAATTAACAAAGTTGTGGTAGTTTTGGGCGAACAGCAAAGGGCCTCAACCATACATGTATCCATTCTCTCCCCAAACCCCCCTCCCGTTCAGGCTGGCACAGAACATTACAAAAAAGTGATATAAAGCCGTTTGCAGCAACCTGGATGGATCTAGAGAGTGCCATATTGAGTGGAGTAAGACAGACAGAGAAGAAGAAATATATACATCCCTTATATGTGGAATCTAAAAAGAAATGATACAAATTAACTTACAAAACAGAGACTCAAAGCTTTAAGAAATGGAACTTATGGTTGCCGAGGAGAAGGGATAGTTAGGGACTTTGGGAAGGTCATGTACACACGGCTGTATTTAAAATGGATAACCAACAAAGACCTATTGGAACTCTGCTCAATGTTAGGCCTCTCCTTCTTGAGATAAACAGTCTTTGTCTTTTACACCCAAGATAATTCATTGGCAGTGATGTTGGAAAATTGTATTTTTCCCCCAAATATTGGTGAGTGTATTAGTCTATTGTTCACCGGTCTGCTCACTGACATTCCTCTCTGGAAGAGGGCAGTCTTCTTCCTACCCAGTGACTGTCTTGGCTTGCCATGACTTCTCCTAGCCGGCAGAATGCGAGCACAGGGGATATAAGGGGATATAAGCCAGCGTGAGCAGAAACTTTAAGAACCATTTTGAAGTTTTGTCATTGTTTGTTTCCTTTTGCTATGAGAATGGCACATTCCAGGTAGGGGCTGCTCCTTTATTCTCGAACTTTGAACAGGAAAGACACATAGCAAAACCACGTCTGACCTCCAGGCCACATGTATTATGGAAAAGAAATAAACTTTGTTACTGTTAGCCACCCATATTTGGGGATTATTTATTCCTCGAGCATAATCTAGTGACAGCTAGCCGCACTGTGACCAATGACTGTTTTTCCTTTCTCATTTGGGGCACTGAGAGGCAGTGAGCCCGAAAGAGCTACATGCAAACATTCTCAGGAGATTGTGCAAGATAAATCCTTAAAAATATCCTCTGCTTTTATTTCCCCTGTTAAGACTTATATAAATGAGTTCCTGGAGAAAACCTGGATTAAGCACTGCCTTACCATACCCCCTTCATGGTGATTTACCAATGCTGTAAGTTCAAAAAAGAAGAAAGAAAGTCACATAAAAATAGCTCAAATCTTTCTCAGTCTGATGTGGCAAGAATGTCCAAGAGACCATGGTGTATTCCATATCTCAATTTTTTTTCTTATTGATTGTGAGCAGATGGGAGCTGTACTATTTGAGGAAGAGTAAATCCTGGTATTTGGCCATTATCCAAAGGTAAATGAAAGAAGGGGGTGGCATTCACAGGGCTCTGTAACAGAAGACAACTAAAAATAGGCGCCCAGCCCGATCACAGCTAGGCTGTGAGTTGCTAGGCAAGAAAGCATTTTTTCTCAGCATCTTAGTGTACTCCATTCACAAGTTTTAAATTGCCTAGTAATTTATCAACTTTATTTATCTCATTGTCGTGCTCATTTAACATCCATCTTTATGGCCTCTTTATTTTATATTAACCTACGATACAGATTAAGATGATTTACACACTGAAGCAGGTTCCTTTTTGCTCACTTGGTCCATTTACGTTCAAGAATGATACTCCTGGTGCTCGGAGGTTTCTATTCAAATGCGCTAACTTTATTCTGAAAATTAACATTTCCTGTGGTTATAAAAGTTACACTATTATTTATGGGCTCTGTAACCTTGAAGGTGTGGTCTTGTGAGGGTTGCTGATGTTAACACTGGATGCTCTGATTAAGCTGGCCCTCATTTCTAGAGCAATTGTTAGAATTGCTAAGCCTTTTCTCATAGATAGAGAAGTCTTGAATATGTGATAACAATCTCTTAGAACAGAGCCAGATATTCCTATTTCTACTGCAGTGACTCTGATTTTAGACTCCCAACCAGAGGAATAAAACAATCCACTGTTGTTATTGTTGCTTAGTCACTAAATTGTGTCTACCTCTTTCTGCTCCTATGGACTGTAACCTGCCAGGCTCCTCTGTCCATGAGATTTCCCAGGCAAGAATACTGGCGAGGGTTGCCATATCCTTCTCCAGGGGATCTTCCAACCCAAGGATTAAACCCATGTCTCCTGCCTGGCAGGCAGATTCCTTACCACTAAGCCACCAGGGAAGCCCAAAACAATACACTGTGCACTAGTGTGTATATAAGCATAATGCTAGCAAATGGGACAGTTTATTGACTGAAGATCAAAAATGAACTGGCACCCCTGAGGCTCACAAGTGGCTACTCTACCATTCTCAACAAACCTCACTTCTTTACACATTTGAAATGCTATCCTTAAAATTACACCCTAAAATGAACTAAACTCCAAGAACATGAAACAAGATGGAGGAAAGTCAACAAACAAATATTGAACAAAATGAGCCAGATACAAAAGAATACATGTGTATAACAAAGCTAGGTGACATTAATCTATAGTGTTAGAAGTTTGTCTTTGCACAGGAGGCAGAGACTAAAGTTGGAGGGGACATGAGATGGTCTCCAAGGATGGTAGTCATGTTTTATTTCTTGACCCAAGTGGTTTTTGCACAGATGTGTTCTATTCGTGACAACTCATATAAGCGTATACTTCTTATTTGTGCTGCTGCTGCTAAGTCACTTCAGTTGTGTCTGACTCTGTGCGACCCCATAGATGGCAGCCCACCAGACTCCCCTGTCCCTGGGATTCTCCAGGCAACAAAACTGGAGTTATTGTCATTTCCTTCTCCAATGCGTGCATGCATGCTAAGTTTCTTCAGTCATGTCAGATTCTGTGCGACCCCATGGACAGCAGCCTACCAGGCTCCTTTGTCCACAGGCTTCTCCAGGCAAGAATACTGGGGTGAGCTGCCATTTCCTTCTCCTAAGTATTCTGTAAATAAGTTATACTTTAATTTAAAAAAGTAAAAAATCATACTCCAGAACTGAAGGCACAGTCTTGGGTGGTGGGGTCTTAATTTATTTTGTGAAACTTTCTATTTCTGCTTGTCCTTTAAAGCAAGTTTTATTCCTATTTTATTTCTAACCAATCAAACTCTGCCTCTTGAATGTGGGCAAACTTTGACCCACAATTAAATGTTGACTGAGTCCTGCATTTCAAACTATGTTATAGCATTGCTCATCTATTTACACAGTCTCCCTGAAACCAAACTGACTGATTTTTATTTGGGAAGACAATGGCATCATCTATTTCAATTTGACCTAGATCTTTATTCCATGGAATTTTTAAAGTTTGGGTGATGCCAGTGAATCTCAGCAAGTTTCATATTCAAATATGATTTAGCTCCATGCAGAGTCTTAAAGGGAGAAGGCAATGGCAACCCACTCCAGTACTCTTGCCTGGAAAATCCCATGGATGGACGAGCCTGGTAGGCTGCAGCCCATGGGGTCTCAAAGAGTCGGACATGACTGAGCGACTAAACTTTCACTTTTCACTTTCACGCATTGGAGAAGGAAATGTCAACCCACTCCAGTGTTCTTGCCTGGAGAATCCCAGGGATGGCGGAGCCTGGTGGGCTGCCGTCTATGGGGTTGCACAGAGTCGGACACGACTGAAGCGACTTAGCAGCAGCAGAAGCAGCAGCAGAGTCTCAAAGAAGAGGGCATGGCAACCCATTCCAGTGTTCTTGCTTGAAGAACCCCCATGGACAGAGAAGCCTGGCGGGCTACAGTCATAAGATCACAAAGAGTTGGACACAACTGAAGCAACTTAGCACACGTATACTTGGAGTCTTAAAACAACCTAATTTTCTGTACATACCATGCAGGGTCTGATCCTTAATATTCCATGTACTTCTCCATTTGTTATTTTAATTATAAAAGATGATTCTTTGATTGAGGTTTTTTAAAATGAAATTTATTTTGAGATCTCTACCACTCAGGCTACTAGCGCATGCTTCTTGAACATTCTGTCTGTTAATAGAAACATTTATTGTTAGGCTTTGTAAGATAAAGTCTAGTGTACTTTTTAACTCAATCCTGATACCAGCCACTTCACAACTGACTTATGCTTTATGCACACCAGTTATCATTAACATTTGTTTTTCTTCAAAGATTTATTTTCCCAGTAACCATGGTGGAACAGGCTTTCCCCTCCTATAAAGCTGCTTATAGATGCCATTCAGGTGTGTGATTAAATGTAATTAATACTTAAGACCTTCTATAGCTGGACTCTAGTGTGGAAACAGAGTTTTTGGTTTTGTTTCTTTTTTTTTGGAGAGCCTCATGAGTGCTTTCCACATATGCTCTAAATAAGGACAGCTTTGCCTTCCAGACCCTGTGTGTACTTGTGATCAGGGAACATTTGCTTGCTTAGTTGCTCAGTTGTGTCTGACTCTCTGTGACCTCATAGACTGTAGCCCGCCAGGCTCTTCTGTCCATGGGGATTCTCCTGGCTAGAACACTGGAGTGGATTGCCTTGCCCTCTTCCAGGGGATCTTCCCAACCCAGGGATTAAACACAGGTCTCTCCCATTGCAGGCAGATTCTTTACTGTCTAAGCCACCAAGGAAGCCCAAGAATACAGAAGTGGGGAGCCTACCCCTCCTCCAGGGGAACCTCCAGACCCAGAAATCAAACCAGGGTCTTCTGCATTGCAGGTGGATTCTTCACCAGCTGAGCTACCAGGGAAGCCTGTGTGTGTTTGTGCTTTTACATCACTGCACGTGGAATTATCAGGGAAATTTGGGTAAATTTGGATAAATTAAATCATAATAACAGTTATGATCAAGAGTAGTTTCTCATCAGAATGAATAGGATTGGGGACCCAGACTGGAAAAGTAAAACTTTTATCAAGTAAAACTTTTTAATATTAAATAAACTGGGGAGGGTTTAAAATTATATATTTTCTTATACCTGCTCAGTTCCACATACAGTTTTTCTTGGGCTCTCAAGGATAACTTCTTTCATAATTAACCCATAACTTGCCTCCTATTTGGCCAAAGGAAGTTGCCATTTTTAATTAATATTTTTAGTGGATCATAAAGTCATAAGTCCTTGATCTAGTTTAATGAGTATGAAATCTCATCTGTTAACAGTATATTTTCTAATTTTTTGCTTCTATTTTCATGAATCACATTTTTTTGTTAAAATTCTGTTAACAAGCAAGATTTACTTTATTTCTTCACTTGGGCTTCAACAAAGAAATGTTCAATCTTTTATTTGCAGGACCTTCATGGTGATGATGGGCTTCCCAGGTGGTGCTAGTGGTAAAGAACCCACCTGCCAATGCAGGAGACATAAAAGATGTGGGTTTGATCCCTGGGTCGGGAAGATCCCCTGGAGGAAGTCATGGCAACCCACTCCAGTATTCTTGCCTGGTAAATCCCATAGACAGAGGAGCCTGGCAGGATACAGTCCATAGAGTTGCAAAGAGTTGGACATGACTGAAGCGACTTCATGTACCCATAGTGATTATGACAAAATATATCTAAAATGGGAAGATGGTCTAATTTATTCATCAAATTTATTTCTTCATTTTCTTTCCCCCTGTCTCTTGGTCTTATCTTCTAGGATGCAGATAACCATGGCGATTACCCTATAAAGCCTGGTCTGTTGAAACCAGTTTCAGGAGGTAATTTACCAATGAGAGACCCAAAACTGCTAACCTTTCAGAGGCCTGAGGACTTTGATCTGGGAGTCAACTAATGTATTTCATAGTTACATTCTATCCATTGCTTGAAGGTGAAAAGAAGGTAAAAGTTTCATTTTATATTGTTGTCTATACCCACCTATAGACAACTCCTGTTGTAAAATGTATTCCTGAAGCATATATTTTGGGACTAGGGACCCTGTATTTGTTGTTTAGTTACTAAGTCGTGTCCAACTCTTTTGGGATGCCATGGACTATAGCTTGCCAGGCTCCTCTATCCATGGGACTTTCCAGGCAAGAATACTGTAATGGGTTGTCATTTCCTTTTCCAAGGTATCTTCCCAACCTAGGGATCAAATCCACGTCTCCTGCATCAGTAGGTGGATTCTTTACCACTGAGCCACCAGGGATGCCCAGGGACCCTGTATATTTGAACAATATTCTGCATAAGACTACTCATGATGGCTGCATTAACCAGAAAAGTGATCCTATAACCGGAATGAGAAGAATATACAAATTTATTTTTTATCTGGGAGGCATAATATGTCCCAGTAATAGACAAATAAGTATTGCCATACATATGAAAAGATACCAACCGTCATTCAAAACAGGAGAAATGCAAATTACAAGCAAACTGATAAGCGATGATTCATATACAAGACCAGCAATATCAGAACATTTAATAACATTATGTTAATGAGGAAGTGAGTATAAATTGTCAAAAATTTCTATGAATTGTAATTTGACAATAGCTATCAAAATTACAAATGCACTTATACAATAACCTAGCATTCCCTTTTCTAGGAATTTATTTTACAGATGTACTTGCACAGTGCAAAATGATGTATATTGAAGAATATGCATTAAAGCATTATAACATCAATGGCAAAAGACTGGAAGCAGCTTAAATGTCAGTCAGTCTGAAAGCAATGAACTATAGAATGGTACATTCATACAATAGAACAACATGCAGCCATTTAAAAATAATGGAGAAGTTTTTATGTGTTGAAATGATTTTCAAGATACCTATATTATTAAAGCAAGATGACAAACAGTATGTGTAGTATATGACTATTTATGTTTCTGGAAATACTTGATATTATATGTGTAGAAAAGAAAATCAGACTATTTATGTTTCCCCTTAGACTGATTAGATTAAACAGTATAAATTGAAATTAGTTTCCCTTACTTAACATTACCCCTTACAATTGGAAGGGAGTGCTGATACCCCTTGCAATTGGAAGGGAGTGCTGGTAGGGTCTATTATCCTACCATTTTCCTGTTTGCTGGTTACACACACACATGAAGTCTAGAAGAATAAGCAAGCCTATAATTCAGGCTCAAAAATCCAATTTCTAACCCCTATTGCATGCATAAGAACTTGGAGTATTGATGAGGCAAAGTGTGGAAGTGGTTCCTTTGTTCTTTTCAAATTATTCCCAGTTCACCAGGAGATCAGGGTCTTTTGGAAAAGGCACTGGACACCTCACAAAGCTGTGTCTCTCACAATTCCTGGGGAACAAATCCACTTCTTTTTTTTTTTTTTCTCAAATCCACTTCTTCGGACTCTTTCTCCTCTTTCCTTTTTCTTAATGTTTAATTAATGTTTTGCTTCTCTTCCCCTGATTTCCCCTGTTTTCTCATCCTCTGGTATAGTTTTCCATCATCTTATCCCATTCCAGTTATACTCTGGGTGAAGTAGATAGAATGGCGGCAGGGATCCTGGAATCCTGCCAACGGACTATGGGAATAACTAGACCTCCAACACTGGGCCCCAAGATGATCTCAGATGATAATGAAACATACATTTTCTTCCTCTCTCTTGGATTCCATTCCTAAATGATGCCCTTCCCTCCCCTCCTCTGTTTGTGGTAGGTGCTAAAGACTGGAGGAAGGGGAAAAAAAAATCTCATTCTGCTCTATACATTTTTTTTTTTAAGAGAAAGAGGCATCCCACATTTAGCCCTAGCCTGAAAGCATGCCTGTTTAATCTAGAGTCAAATTAATCAGACAGCTTAGGCTTTGGCTGCCTCTCAATTCTTGCTCCTTATAGTTCTGCTTTGTTCAAGAAAAGTATCTATCTTCTTTACCAGCTTTTCCTCCGACTCAGCTCTTTACTTAATATGAATAATTAAAACTGTGCAACTAAGAACATCAGAAAGCCCACAGTCAAGCTAATTTATTTTAATTAAAATTTGATTCACAGCATTCAAACTGGTCCCACTAGACAAAAATATGCACCGAAATTCAGAAGATGCTTTGGGAGCCTAGAGAAGGTCAGTCAGCATTTCCAAGGACTAATACCAATTTAAGATCATTAAAATGAACTTAGGGAAAGTAAATAGCAATTAGGAAATAGATATAGATATTAATGTATATTTCAATATTTGGTCTTATGGGATTGTAGATTCCTCTGGGCTTCTAAGTTGAGTAAGTTTGGGAAAATCCTTTATGTATAAATATTTTATATGCATGTGCACAATTGTAAATTTGGTGGTCCAAAATAACATTAAGGTAAAAATTGGTTTCCTGCATTCAAGAGTAGAAATGGGATGCCTGCATTATATGGGAAAGGAATCCCTTATTCTATAACTGTAATTTAATTTTAAAAATCTCTGTAATAATTATATATTAAACAGCATCAGTCTACTATTGGAGCCCCTTTTGAAATGGGACTGTGTCCTAAATTTTCCATCTATTTCTTTCTAAATCTTCATGGTAATGTTCACCAGTCAGATACTCAATTCTGTAATGCTCTCAGGCACTGCATATTTGCCTAAAGCAGTTTATGATTATTTTAGGCTATTCAAAATTGTCCATAGTGAGTAAATCATTCTCAGCTAAGATATGTCTTGTTAATTTGCCAGTTGCTGATGAACACTGCATCTTCTCAAAATAGCTGAATCTACCTTCAATTGACTGGAGTCTCCTAGGACTTTTGATTGGGCCTTACTTTTAGCAGGTTGTTAGGGAAGAAGATGAACCAGATGTTGAAAACTTCCCACTCCTGTGGACTTAATTACCACTCCTGGCATACAGAAAGTGTTAAAATATTCATATTTTTTAATGAAAGTTGAGTGAATGAATATATGATGAGGAGTATTTTTCAAGTATGCTTGTGATTTATGGCTTCCATTTGACATTCTTCTGGACCTTGAACAGAGCCTTTGTTTTTATTTGTTTTTCTTCTGTAGGCTGTACAACATAGAGTTATTATACTTTTCATCCAGTGGAGACAGGAAGAGAGAGAGACAGAGAGAGGCAGTTATCACAGCTGCAACTTCAAATGGAGTTACAGAGATTGCCACATTTGTGGAGCCCGCATCTGTGTAAACTCAAATGTACTATATTTTGCTAATAGCAAAAAATGCAGTTGAGACAGGGAAAAAGAAAAAAAAAAGTTATAGAATAAATAGATAAAGAAAGAAATAAATCAAGAAAGAATTACATTTTCTAAGTATTCTTCATTTTTGCAGCATCAGGGCAAGTTCTGTCTTTAGCTCTGAAAAGCCTCTAAAAATTTGAACAAAGTGGAAGTGACGGTCTCTACTGAAATTTTCCATTTAAAAAGACAGCCTGGTGTACAGTTATATAAAAGGAAAAATAGCTAGTACCGGCTAAGTTGGTGTATGACCTAATTTGGAGAAGACCCAGTGGATTTCATCACTCCAAGATCATGATCTGCTTGAAGATAATAGGCTTTGTCTATCTACTTTATTTCAACCCCAGGGTCAACATTATGCCAACATTATGCCTTCTCTGTGGGTCCCTTTCTCTAGAAAAATCTTAAAAATTATATTTTCAACTGATATAATGGCGAATATGTTAATAACATCAAAGAGTTTTCTCTAACCTATGCATTCTTTTTTTTTTTCTTCTTCGGATTCAAGCAAAGATAAAACACTTTGATTTGTGAGCCTAAAAGGCAGTGTGGCCCTAGGCACAATGCTTTCCCTGCTCTGTGGATGGCTGGCACAGAATGACTCAGTGCTGGAGCTGCAAGGATCTTTTTTTGTAGCCTTAATTTTTGTTTTATTTTTGGCTGTCCTGGGTCTTCCTCGCTGCACTGACTTTCTCTAGTTGCAGTGGGCACAGGCTACTCTTTGCTGTGGTGTGTGGGCTTCTCCTCATGGTGGCTTCGCTGCTGCACAGGGTCCAGAGTACGCAGGCTCAGCTGTGGCAGTGAACAGGCTTAGGGGCTTGTGGCATGTGCAAGCTTCCCACAGGAAGAATCAAATCCATGTCCCTACACTGGCGGGTGGATTCTTAAGCATTGGGCCACTGGGGATGTCGTGGTGGGATCTTTAAAGTAGAAGTCCAGTGTTTTCTTGTACTGGGCCAAATAACATGACCTTGGAATGAAAAGCAAACTATGGGAACATTTCTAATTTGTGCAATTCAAGGATGGATGGTTTTTCTTTAGAGATCGTAACATCTGAATAAAGAAAGCTTTGCAAAGACCTAGCTGTAGATGGGTACCTGCTAATTAAATAGCAGCATCTTTTAAAGCAGACTTTGCGTGGAGGTAAAACACATATGCAGCATATCAAAAGTGAACAGCTCAATGGATTATCACAAAGAGAACAATCTCGAGTAATCGCAACCAGAAAATGCTATGAACATTTCAACACAAAGAATATGCAAGAAATACTTCAGAAGTGGGGGCTGAAAATATGAAAAGAAACATGGCTTAATATTTACTTTGATTCTAAGAATAAATGACTTGCACATTTGTGTAAGTGTTCTATTCTATTTTGCTATTGTTTATAATAGCTACCCCCTTCCTGTCCCTGAATTCTACTCCTGATCCTTATTCCTCAACTCATTCCTCAGCAGCATGTTACTCCTGACCTCCCCTCATTTTGTCACCAACATGTCCACTCCCAGCACTACCCTGTCATTCATTTGTTCTCAAATATTTGAAGACCCATCATGTGCCAGATGCTGCTTAGTGCTGGGAAACAGCAGTGAACAAGTCTAGACCATCCTGGAACTTCAAGGTTAGTACAAGAGATATAGACTTTTCATGAATAACTATTAAGTTCAATTATAGAAAATACTAAAAGGTAAAAGTAGAGCATGCCATGAGAGTGAATAATACAGAGGCCTAATTTTATTCTAGAGATAGTCTATTTATTCTTCTCTTTGTTATTAAACTAAAGATGGGAATGGTCATACTAATGATCAGTGACAACTAAGGTAAATATGAAACTTTGTACAATAAGTAGAGACAGTTTCATGTTGTAAAGAAAATTATATTGTTGTAAATCCTTATACTATTTGTGTTGGTTATATTAAAATATTTGGATTTTTATCTTTCAGAATTGCAACATCAAAACAACAGCACCAATTTCCATGCTATCCAGATCACTGTGCAAATGCCCTTCTGTATCTTCCTCTCTCTCTTTCCCTTTCTCTGTCTCTGTCTGCTTATCTGTCTGTCTCTCTTTCTCTGTCTCACATACACACATATGAATGCATATATTCCATTGTTGTTATCATTCAGTCGCCCAGTCGTGTCCGACTCTTTGTGACCCCATGGACTGCTGCATGCCAGGTTCCCTTTCCCTCAACATCTTCCAAAGTTTGCCCAAGTTACTGTCCATGTCCACATATTCCATAGCAGATCCTAAAATCACAATTTTAAGCAACTCTCAGATCTCCAAAATTTTCTTATTTCAACAAAGACAGAAGATTAAAACATCTTGCTACTTAAAAATCCTCATGAAATTATACCAGAGTGAGGATAGAAACCCAGAGGAGAAGAGCTTGGCTGGCCCTCTCCTGTATCAAGGCAACTCACCCCCTTGCCCATCCTGTCACATGACACCTGGAATCTAATTGCTGCCACTTTGTGATAACCCTCCACTCTCCTATGAGTCTTTTTTAAAAACAAATCTCTGCTTAATGTTTATACTTTTGGTCCTTGAGTATGCTTGCCTTCCTGTTCAATTTCAGCAGGCTTGATCATGGCCATAATTAAGTGAAAGACAGGTACACAGGGTGATGCCTCCTGAGTCCACCATTCTCTCAGGCCTGGCTGAAGGACAGAGAAATACAAACATAAATCCTGAAACACATGGATGTTTAAGTAGGATTATGTCAGCTTGCTTTTCTCCCCCCAGGTATTAAGTTGACGTCTCTGAACTTCTGGTACCTAGTGGGGACTCAGTAAATGTTTGCCAAATGACTGGATTTGTTTCTATTCTCTCCCCATGTAGTCATCGGCTCACCATGACTTCCTCTTTAGAAACTGAATTGTCTCGGGTAAGAAGGCTTAATGCGTGCAGGGGCCCAGCATTAGGCAACAGTTCCCTGGCTCTAGTTTCCACAGCCTCCTGAAGGGGCTCTTCTCATGTTGAGGGTCTCGTGGCAAACTCTCCTCCTCTAACATCACTGTATTTATCTACAAAGGATTTTTTTTTTCATCTTGCCTACGATTTCCTCCTCAGGTTAATTCAAAAATTTCAGGTAGCTACCATCTGGTCTCATGGATTTAACTGCATTTGGTTTGTTCCTAATTTCCAGAATAGCCTGGGCATTTGCCAATGTTTATTCAAGCACCTCCTACCCGCACACTTCAAAAAGCAATTTGGGAGTGAAAATACTCTTAAAACTTCTTCCCTAAAGATGCTGACCAATAATTTGTTTATCCTTCTGCTATCTGTTCTGTCCATTTAATATGGCCTGCATACTGTGCTCATCATGTGATCATCTGCTGTTTCTAAAGACAGCTTTCAACTTAGAGCCTCTCCATGGTACTTTTTTCCCTTCATTTCTCATTTATAACATGCCTGGTGCATTCTAAAATGCTAAAGTTCTTTTACTTCCTAGATTCATTTTGTTAACTTATTTATTGTATTTTTGGTTGTCCTGGGTTTTTGTTGCTGCACGGGCTTTCTGGTTGCAGTGAGCACAAGCTTCTCACTGTGATGACGTCTCTTGTTTCAGAACACAGGCTCTAGAGCATGGGCCTTCAGCAGTTGTAGCACACGGGCTCAGGAGTTTTAGCTCCCAGGTTCTCGAGCCCGGGCTCAGCAGCTGTGGCGCATGGGTCTAGTTGCCATGAAGCAAGTAGGATCTTCCTGGAGCAGGGATTGAACCCACGTCTCCTGTACTGCCGAGCAGATTCATGACCACTGAGCCACCAAGGAAGCCCTTGCCTGATTTATTTTTTTTAAGGGAATATTCCTAGGATAATTCCTTCAAATTTTCCAGCTACAGATGGCGAGTTTGCGTGTGTGTGTGTGTTTGTGTTTAAGTATAAAGCAATTTTGATAGCATATTTAATATCAAGATTTTAACCAGCAATCTTGACGAATTTCTAGAATTCTTATAGATTAATGAATATTTATGTAGTTTAATTGAAAATTTCTATATTTTGTTCCCTAATGTATCAAAAATACCTACTTAGAGGGGAAATAAATATTTAAGTGTAATGAATTTCAACAAGACATAAGACAAAATGTTTGATGGTATAAATGGGCAAAAAAGTACTGGGATTGATGATTATTTAAGTCTTATAAGTTGAAGAGTCTGAGGATGGGGGAAAAAAATGTCCTTAAATGCCTTTAAATATAACAGGCATGAAATAATTAAGAGATTGAGGCAGCCTTAAGAAAGGTCTCTGGAGTCAGGCCACAGGGTTCTGAATTGACCTTATGCTGATTGAACAATGGTTCACATGAAGAACTGATATAATCTTGCTACATAAATAGTATTTATAAAGGAATCAGCCTTTTTTCTTATCACATCTATAGTGTGCTCTTCTCCCTGAGTATCAGGGGTTTTATTTTTTATTAATTAAAAAGGATACTGTCAAACTGTAGTATAATAGAACAAACATTACTAAATGACATCGAACTCAAAACAATGATGAAAAGAAGACGAAGTGGCCAAATTCGAACATGAAAGATGACTTCAAACACTGGGGGATGACATGGACAATAGGGATTTAGCCCAATTTAACTAGAAAAAAAAAAAATACCTAGGATCCATGATTGGGACTTAAGAAGTTTCCAGCTTCAGTTCAATATAAACAGTTTTAAAGGTTGTTCCAACAAAGTAGTGATGTTGCCCTGTGAGGGAATCAGTTCCTTGTTGCCAGAGCTGTTCAAACAGATGCTGAATAAAACTCTGTCAGAAATCCCATCAGATTGGAGGTTAAAATAAGCTAATCATTTTCAGCTCCAAACCAAAGATGCTTCCAGTTCGGTTAATTTCACTTTCTACAACTAGAGAAGAAAGGCTGATTTTAAATGCTGCCTTTACCTTTAAAACCCATTTGGAGGAATATCCCACACTTAACAGTCACAGCAATTCTAGTTACCCAGATAGCTGTGGGCGAACATTCCCTGGGCTCTAATCTTTAGAGGAAATGTTAAGGAACACAGCGTACCCACTGGGCCTG